TATTTTTATATTTACATCAGAAAAAATGTGTTGTTTTATTAATATTTACAAATTAATAAAACCCAATGTCATTTTTTTATGAAAATCTCAAAAATATACCTTATATATTTCAATTTAAACTAGTTAGATTATCGTAAATATGATCAATACATTGTCCTACATTCAAATAATCATATTTTAAGAAAATAGTACTCATATTTCTCAATTGATCTTTAATAATTTTACCATTATAGACCTATATACCCATATATACCTTTTATAACTATTTAATTACACAGTTTTATTTGTTTTGAATGATATTGTTATACTTTTATAACTTCCTATTGCGTTAAATGTGTATATATTTACGTATCATATCAATTTATCAGTATTTTCCTATTTATTTACATATTATAAAAAGGATATCTAGAATATGTTTTATGAGATGTATTCAAACAAAATTTGTAATGAAATTTAGTCAATTTTTTATAATTTTATTGATCTTTTACATTATTTTCTTTGAATACATAGTTCTGGAAAGTATATTTATAGTTAAATACCATTTGAAAGAAATATTACATAAAATTCCTCAAAATTATAAATATAATAAGATAGTTTTACAGTATAATCATGTTGTTTTAAATATCTTAGATATACTAGAAAACAATTATAAAAACCATATTATATTTTTGTTGTGTAAGTATTATATGCGAAATTCATCGATAAGAACATCTATTATATTTACTTGTCAAAATTAATTATAAATATAGTGTCCAGTACTATTTGTTTATTTTAGAAAATAATCTAAAAAAACTAATCTATTTAGAGACCATTTGAGAAATATGAGTAATATTTAGAAATCTGTAGGAGGGGAGAATGAAATTAAAATTTTAACTTTTTCTTTGTATAGGTATACCTAACCATAAATTACTTATTATACAATATAATTAAACTAAGTATCGAGGCCACCTCATTATTAGTACAACCCTGATATGTTCATGTATACATAAAATATACATATTATTATGCATATTTATTACTCGTGTATATTGTGTACATTTAGTACATATACTTAGTGTTCACAATATTTACAATACACACAAAATATATACGGCTGAAACGAGCCTTATTTTAACTCATATTTAGATGATAATCTCTATTATGATTTCGCTCATATATATATTTATTTTAAGTATTATAATGAAAGTACTCAGTTGAATTTACTAATTTTAAATCATTTATTAAAAGGTGTTATTATAAAAGTATATTATTAGATTATTATTATAAGTGTAAATTATCTCTGATCTGTATTGCGTTCAATGAGGATCTGGGTGTAATTTGATCGATTGGTCTAATGGCACGATTTTGGCTTATTTCACTTCGCTAAGAACCTGATTAAATTATAGTGCCAGTATTATTATCAAAAATGTCTATTATACCCGGAAGAGTTTATATTGATGCAAATGTGAGATGCTGTACTTCTTCGTAAAAAATTATGTTATTGTTATAATAGACACTTATTAAACTCTAATAAGCTGATAAAATGTATTGGAGCTGCCTTTTATGATGTATAAAATGTTTATACAAATCAATACGCTTAATTGCAAAATTCTATGTTATACTGAGAACTAAACCGGATGAATCATTGTGGTTCCTTATATTGTTTATAAACACGCGCACCTATACACGAATTTTGGTGATGCTTGCATTCCNTGATAACTTAAAAAAAACTAAATAAAAAATTGTCTAAAAGTTAAATAACGCATTTTATAACTCGATATCATAATTATATAAAGTAGGTATATATTATCAATACCTTTTAATAACCACTAATTTGAATAAAAGTTGGATAGAAAATAAAATTCTAGAAAGCGAACCCCATTGCACATATACACCATATACTAAATATGCCAAAATTATTATACAAATTACAATTTTAATTCAGTACGTACTTATTTGGTTTTTTTTTACGAGTACTATTAAACACTGAAAATAAACATGATCCTTTCAGAATTAATTAATATTGACATTTTTTCGACAAATAAAAAACTTTTTCAAGGGAAGTTCTAGTTGATGAATTACCAACATTATGTAATAATTTGTTTTTCGTGGTTTATAACTTAGTCACTTCCTTGTTAAATTTTAATCATTTAGCTTTGTGCCAATTTCAGTTATTTATAATTAAAAGCGAAAAAAAAAGTAAAATACATCTCAAATTTTCAAACATTTCTGTAAAGTCTAACAATTGTATCCACAGAGTACCTACTGAATGAAAACGAAGGAAAAAGCTAGCAAAATAAAAATATCAATAAATAGGTTAAAAATTAATCGTGTAATTTTAAAATTTTACTACATCACCATCTGGATTAAAACTTCAACAAAAATGACATAAATGTGTATTTAATTAATTTTAAAATTTACCAATCAAAAAATAACGTGTTAAACAAATAAAACAATTTCTTATTCAATACATATTTCTACATTTATTAAATGTTATTATATTTTTATCTAGCTTGAAAAGGCAATGTGTTACGATCAAAAAAGACGAATAATAGCGCAAATACGAAGTGTTAAACGTCACCTTGAAACAACAATACGTGGAAAGGATACAAGAAAAAGTCCTGAACCAGTACAAAAAACCAAATCTATTATAAAAAGACAAGCTGAAGAACCTAATGTGAATAGCGAAAAATATGAAATAAAAATTACACACATTGATGTTCACGATTCGTCAGAGAATACAAACATACACAACCCAATTTCGACACGGAAGATTTCTGGAGCGTCTGGCTATAAAGCCAGAAAAGATTTTTTTGAAAACAAAAATTTAAATAATAATTCGGATATAGCAATTCCCATAACTACCCAACAGATAGTAAGATCATCAATAATAAATTGCCGTGCTTCATTTGAATTGAATGATGATAAAAAAACACTATTAAAAGACAAAACCAACGTTCCAAAACAAACAACGCCAGATACAAAAAATAGATCGCATGACCGAATAATTGAAAGCCCGACAAATATTATGAACACCGATTTATTCGATATCAGAGTTGAGGAAATCAATAAATCTAGAAGAATTTTGGAATCAAAGACTATGAAAGATAGAAAAGCAGCTTTCGAAAAAATCGATGTTGCTGAAAAACCAGCTAGGCCACATAAATTTACCCTAAAGAGCCAATCTACAATTTCCGTAATTAATACAGATAGACTCTTTGAAGTACATAATAAATCAAGTGTGGTTCCTGATAAACCTTCAGAGAATGTCTCTAGTAGAAGAATTACAAGTTCTAATATCGGTAAAAAAAGCGCAGAAAAAACTAAAACCATTGACTCTATCAATAATGTTAGTGATAGTGCAGACGGAACAGTTTCGTCAAACAGTGCGGACAGAAATGTTACAGAAACTAACAGAAACAGAAGAAAGATTGAAGAAATATTTGATTTGCACGTTTTAGAGCTTATGGTAAATATACAAATATAATAAATGTATTACTATAATTATGAATTAATAATGTTAAGGACTTAAGATAATAACTAAGTGTTTATAAAGGCGGACTAAAAAAAAAATTTTTTCGAAGACGTATGTTTATATTTAATTTATACACTTATGATAATACCATAGAATCTAATTTCGCCAAAAAAAAAATTTCACTTTTCGAGCAGCTATTTTTTATAAATAAAACTAAATGATCAGCAGTTAATAAGGAACAAATATGGTCCTATTAGTCGATAGGAAAAAAAAGCAAAATTGACAAAATTATTAACCACGAAACGCAAATGATTACATAATGTTGTTAAATCATCGGCTAGATCTCCCCTAGTAAAAGTTTTTAATTCGTCGAAAAAATTTCA